GCAGATTATGCTGAGCTGCATGCAGATCTGAGGAGATTGCCGCCAATTGAAAACGGGCAAAAATTGGCTCAGTCGCATTGCGACCACCGCAAAAAATGAAGCCCTTTTCGCTGCCAAAAACGCAAAAAGGGCGCTTGGCACTAGGCAAAAAATAAAAGCACTTTTGTTGCAGTGCCTCCCGCCTTACAGGTTGAACAGCTGCAGAATTCATCTGCCACACACTCACGGACTGGCAATCAGCAGTCAAGTGAATCTATAGCCTGCCACAACAGTGCAGCTTGCGAGCAAGGGAAAGGGGTATAATTAGGATTAGCACATTATGAGGTGGACTAATCATAATGATATGCACTCGAAGACACTCTCGGCCGATGTTGCCTCGACGGCTGCTGCTGTTGCTGCTACTGATGTTGTTGCTTCTATTGTGCCCAGTGGCATTGGAAAGCCAAGAGAAAGGGCGAAAGCAAAGGCTTCAAGTGCTCAATTCAGCAGTGAAGGTGGCCACCACCACCGCCACACTGCCAACAAGTGCAGAGTGAAAAGTAAAGTGGCTAATGAAGGAAGGTTAGCCAGTGATGGCTCCCTTTCAGTGTCAATATGGCATTCCAGGACAACTCTGCAGNTGGCCACCACCACCGCCACACTGCCAACAAGTGCAGAGTGAAAAGTAAAGTGGCTAATGAAGGAAGGTTAGCCAGAGATGACTCCAAATGGCAAACAGCGCACTTTCAGTGTCAATATGGCATTCCAGGACAACTCTGCAANGAGTGAAAAGTAAAGTGGCTAATGAAGGAAGGTTAGCCAGTGATGGCTCCAAATGGCAAACAGCGCCCTTTCAGTGTCAATATGGCATTCCAGGACAACTCTGCAGAGACAGCACACGATACAGTTGAACACTGGCTCAGTCCGATGGACAGTTAGATCGCCAAGAACCGGCCATGTCAGTGAAAAAAGAGAAATAGGACAACGAGCTAAGCCGAGTTACCAAGAATGAGCTGAATATACACACTGGCAGCGGAGAAAAGTGTCAGGCAAAGAGGGGAAACAGACGAAAGACACAAAGGCGAATGCGGCAAACAATGACACGGCGTAATTCGCTGGGCGAATCATCAAAGGACACAGTCTGCAGACAACGGCGGCAGCTCACGTCCGTAGTCACTTTCCACTCTAATTGACTCGCAGAAAACGCTGGTCGATGCAACTCGTTCTACTGATCAACTTGATGGCNAAGAACCGGCCATGTCAGTGAAAAAAGAGAAATAGGACAACGAGCTAAGCCGAGTTACCAAGAATGAGCTGAATATACACACTGGCAGCGGAGAAAAGTGTCAGGCAAAGAGGGGAAACAGACGAAAGACACAAAGGCGAATGCGGCAAACAATGACACGGCGTAATTCGCTGGGCGAATCATCAAAGGACACAGTCTGCAGACAACGGCGGCAGCTCACGTCCGTAGTCACTTTCCACTCTAATTGACTCGCAGAAAGCGCTGGTCGATGCAACTCGTTCCACTGATCAACTTGATGGTTGCACACCATTCACTAAAGAACCCAATGTGCGATTCGCCGAGGACTCACTTGTTGAGCTGGCACACGCCAAAAAGACGGCAGCGGTGGTTGCAGCTGCAAATAATAATAATATAAGACGATAACGAAGACGGCGGCAAAGCCTGCAGAGTGTGTCTATTCGGCTTATTCGCCCGAGCAGCACAGTCAATGGAGAGGTGAATTATTTATAGAAAGTGAACATAATAATAATAAAGGCACACTCTAACAAGTGCCCACCACTGTTGTTGTGCCTTATGCAACTGGGCGACTGGTCGGCGTTGGCCACTCAGGGACGGCATGCAAATGAGTGAGTAATCCAAACTTTGCTAAACACTCCCTCAACCGATACTGCCCAATGAAGCCTGCATGAGCATGCTAAGGCACTGATCACTGGTGATGACACAGTGGACACAATGTCCTCGGATCAACTAGCTAAAGGGGGTCACACAGAGTGAGCCACCGATGGCGAGAGAGCCAACAACCACCGTTCATCGTTATCGAGTGCACAGAGTGCCAAAGCAATCAGAAGAGGAAAAGCACGGTAACAAACAAACACAAAACAACAAAATGGCAAGTGGCCCACTGATCTGCTTGCAGTTCTGGTGGTAAATGCTGCAACAGCAACAGCAGCCAGGGAATACCTACCTCTCTACAGACATAATTCAGAGCACGAAGGACACACACAGAAAAACACACAAAAAGGTCAAAGAGACCATAAAATGTCTGGCTGGGTAACACGAGTAATGTCAATGCGGTCATAAATCTGCGTCTTATACGAGCGTTTTGCGGCAAGTGTGCTTAGCGCTCTTGAAGAGCTGCTGCTGCTGCAGCTTTCAGTGTACTTGCAGTCAGCTCAAACTGCCACTCAAGATGAGACATAATGAGAAGCTTTTAAAAGCCAATTAAGGCCATCTACTTTGCATGTTTATTGTCCTCCTAAGGAGCATCCCCGGGAAAACTTTAGAATCGAACTTGAATTGCGCAAGTTTGCAGTGGAAAAGTTTGCCTGAAAAAGAAGTGATCGCTACAATCAAATATGGAGGGGCGAGGGAGGGGGACTGCCAGCGTCAGTGTTACTGCTGTAGTACAAGTGTAATAGTATCCGATCAGCGCCTGACTTCAGATCGTCAGACAGTTTGTCTGCAACCTCTGCAGCAGCAGCAGCAGCAGCAGTAGTAGTACTGCTGCATATTCGAGCGTTCGAATGTCAAACCCACGATTATGAAAACAGAAGAAAGAGCGAGAAAGGCAAGAGACAGTCTTGCCTGGCGCGTGATGGCAGCCTTCAACGTAAGTCTAGCTGGAGGCGCCTTGGTGATTGCATTCTGTACATTGCGAGACACACAAATCATCGTTGTTGTCGCTGAAGCCGCACTGAGGTGATGGCAATTCTGCAGGAAAGTCTAAACGGAGGCTAAAGTTCAACTCGCAGTTGGCGGTGGGACAGTTGACAGCTTGGGCAACAAGTGTTGGTGGTGCTGTGACACAACCACACACCAAAGGCAACGGCTGTGCCTCAGACTCATCACATAAATCGGTGACAGAGAGGATATGATAAGCAGCAGCAACAGGAGAGGCATTAGGCCAAATAGAAAAGGTTACGAGCAGAGGGGGAAGGCCAGAGTAGCGCGAAATGAAGCGAACCAAATTGAAAGGAAGAGAGTGGCTCGATAATAAAAACGACCCAACGAGTGTGAGAGAGGGACAATGCACGGCAACGGCTGCCACTAGCCTTCGTTGCAACTTACTACTTTGTCCTCTGCAGATCCGTAGTTGTGCAAATAAAAGCAGTTTAATATTTTTGTTTGCAAACGCTCATGTTACGTCTAAGTGAAGCAGCACTTTTCTGTAGTCCACTTGGTCAGTAGTAACTTTGTCGCATTGATCGACAAAACACGCTTGGCAAAGTAACGGCAACAAGTAAAGAAGATCAGCACTTACTGTTCGTCGAAGTGAAAGGGAAGAGTTGAAGTCGCTCGAAGTTGGAAGAATTTGGCAGATGCGACCAATGTGCTGCTGAAGAAGTAGTAGTCCTCTGAAGAAGAGTGCACGCTAGTGTGACATTTGAGTTGAATGACGATCAGCAAACACCTGCATCAGCTCACTGTTCAGGTTCGACTTGGCGCCACGGCATGAGAACCTCGACTGACTGACAGATCGTAACTGCACTCTCTCTCTCTCTCCGACTTTGCCAGACTGTGCAGAGCAGAGAGAGGGGCGGAGTCAGACTGGCGTGTGCACATGCTCTACTCATTTTCACCACCAGCAGCACTACCACTGCCGCCACCGATGTACACCGTACAACACTAAAGGAAGGAACTAATCAATTGACCTGAGCCATATGGTCTGGGCAGGGTTACCGAAAGGTCATGTTTTACCGTCTATTCTGCTGTCTGCTTCACTGATGAGACGAATAAAGTTGAGAATTTGAAATTATTAGTCACTACTGGAAACGATGCGCCATCTGTAGTCTCTACTTGAAAGAGCCCTTTTTTGATAAAACTTGATAAAAGTTTCATCTTTGACCTCTGACTAGCTATGATTTATCAAAAATGACTTTGTCATGGATAAAGTATATGAAAATGCATATTTAAGACTAAAGGATGCAACACCTGGGCACCGGAATCTAATTTGCATGGATTCAGGTATTTTGAACC